CGGCCCGGCCCACATCCAGCCGGCGGGCAGGGGCGTCCGCGGGCCAGGCTGGGGCCCTGAGCCAGGGCCTGCTCCCACACGGCCCAGGCCTGGCTGGGCTTTGCCAGAAAACCAGTTGAGTCTGCTGGAGTTGTCAGCGCAGCTCCGTGCACTGGCATGATTATCACAGGCCGCTGGGACAGCTGGTGCAAAGCCAGTCTGGCCACAGGCCGCCCTGGTCCCGCTTCTGCAGCATAAGTGGTAACAGATCAAACCTGTGGAAAACACCTGTCTGCCCCACATGCATGCTCACAGCCCCGCATGTGTGTTCTCTATCCCCCACATGCATGCTCACAGCCCCGCATGTGTGTTCTCTATCCCCCACATGCATGCTCACAGCCCCGCATGTGTGTTCTCTATCCCCCACATGCATGCTCACAGCCCCGCATGTGTGTTCTCTATCCCCCACATGCATGCTCACAGCCCCGCATGTGTGTTCTCTATCCCCCACATGCATGCTCACAGCCCCGCATGTGTGTTCTCTATCCCCCACATGCATGCTCGCAGCCCCGCATGTGTGTTCTCTATCCCCCACATGTATGCTCGCAGCCCCACATGTGTGTTCTCTATCCCCCACATGCATGCTCGCAGCCCCGCATGTGTGTTCTCTATCCCCCACATGTATGCTAGCAGCCCCGCATGTGTGTTCTCTATCCCCCACATGGATGCTCACAGCCCCGAATGTGTGTTCTCTATCCCCCACATGTATGCTAGCAGCCCCGCATGTGTGTTCTCTATCCCCCACATGTATGCTCACAGCCCCACATATGTGTTCTCTATCCCCCACATGTATGCTCACAGCCCCACATATGTGTTCTCTATCCCCCACATGTATGCTCACAGCCCCACATATGTGTTCTCTATCCCCCACATGTATGCTCACAGCCCCACATATGTGTTCTCTATCCCCCACATGTATGCTAGCAGCCCCGCATGTGTGTTCTCTATCTAGAGCAGGGCTACTCAAGATGCGGCCCTGCAGCCCACGGTGCAGTTTGGGTTTACATGGGGCTGAACACACGGCCTACAGGTGGAAATCCCTTGAACATGACCTCCAATGGGAACACGCTCCACAACAGCAAGGCATCTCTCAGGCAGAGTGAGCATTGAAAGACACAAGAGTATCATGTGGCCCCTGGGGCTTCCAAAGTGGAGTAGCCCTGATCTAGACTGTAAGGAGCTGTTGCCAAGTTGCCTTGTTCTTGAAGTTGGGGTTGTGGAGGGCTTGCCTTGAAAGGGCTTTTTCTTTTATTTTTGCATTTCAAAGATGGCAACCTCACTGAGCACCCTGGCAGGATTTGTCCCTCATCAGCCCAAGCGCCCAGTTTTTCAGGGTACTGAGTGGGCCTGGGCAGCATGCGGCCAGTCAAGGAAAATGAAGTCCTTTATTGAGTCTGAAATAAAGTTACTTTTGGAGTGAGGCCGCGGCCTAGTGATTTAGGTGCCTTTCCTGCCTCCGCGTTGCTTCTTCTTGGCAGCCTTGGTCATGGTTTCAATCAGGCGCGCACCCTGCTTTTTTATCTCTTCTCGGCTTGGCACATAGCTGTGGTCAATGTCAGCAAAATCAAAGGCATCTGCAAAAGAACAAAGCCTACTACAGCAGGCTGGGAAACTGTGTCATGTGACAAATGGGGGCTAAATCCCCAGCACAGGTCACCTGTATTTGGGCTCATGGTGTCTTTGGTGGAGAGGCCATTGACAATGTTGTTGAAAACTCCCTCCAGAAGCTGGCTGGGATCCTCCTTCTAACTACAAGTCCACAGTGCCCACCCAATTCCAAGGCCTTCATACCTCTAACAGCATCTTCTTCATCCTCAAAAGAAATCTTCAGGTTCTGGCGCTCTTTCCTTGTACTTTCCTCCAGGAAATTCCTAACTTTTACATAGGTCTGTAAAAAACACTTCAGGTTAAATACTGCATAGGTGAGGGGAGGGGAAATGAGAATGGGAAGAGTAGGTCTGCATTTCCAACAGAAGAGATCATTTCCAGCTCCAGGACTAAGCTAGCATGCTAAATGTGGTGCCTATCTGCGGAGGTGCAAGGAGTGTAATTCCATCTCAGACCATGTGGCTAACTTTATTCTGTCACCCAGGAGAGGTGATCTAATTTGGGTATAAAGCCCCATTAAACCTGGCAGGCTTCTGCATTCACAATAGTGCAAACCAAGGCTGGGAGACAGTCTCTGGTTGCTTAGATAGTTGTTCTTGATTTCCCTGGTTTGCACTATTTTTACTGCACTTTGCTCAGATGCTGCTCAGCAGGGGCCTGTACATTCATTAAAAAAAAAAAAAGAAAGATGAGGGCAGCTGCAATATGCCTGGGGGCTCCTGGCCAGGTACCAGGGCAACCCCTTTGGCTGGGTAAAGTTTAGGCATTTCCAACCCATCAGCACGTGTGTTCTGGGGCCTCCTCCGGGCTCTAGGGAGAGGAGACCTGCTGCCTGAGGGCTTCAGCAGCAGTGTGGCTATCCCGTTGCCCAAGCCCAGCCTCTCAGGAGACAGTTCAGGTCTGCCAAGGAGGAACCGCACACCTCATTGTTCTCCTCCCTGCTGAAGTTGTAGGATGGGAGGTTGGTCATGACTTTTGTCAAGTGCAACAGCTTCATCTCACAGAACTGCAGCTTGTCATACGCATCGCTGGTGTCCACGCGAATGTCACCCTAGGGGCAAGGCGACAAAGCAATAAACATAGTGCCACTTCCAGAGACTCCTTCCAGGGCCAGTTTCTGAGGTGGGAACCAGCAAGTGGGAATAAGCATCAAGGAGGTTCAGGACAGGGGATGAGAGGCCCTGGCAATTAGAGAATTGCCTGCTCAGGCTGGGTGCTAAGCAGAGGGACATTTATAAAGTGCCTCTCCCCACATACTTGCAGCCATACTGACTAGGAGGTGTTTAAATTAGCATCTGGCTCCAAACGCATGTTGGATTCCTATCCAAACAAAGAATGTGGCATTTACCACCCAGTTCCAGCCATAGAATCAGAGAACACTAGAACTGGAAGGGACCTTGAGAGGTCACCAAGTCCAGTCCCCTGCCCTCTCGGCAGGACCAAGCACTGTTTAGACCATCCCTTATAGATTTCTGTCCAACCTGCTCTTAAATATCTTCAGTGATGGATGATTTTGCGGAAAAACTTGCCAGTCTAGACACAGCCCTCGTGTCTAGCTCACAACACTCCTATTGATGCAATCTAGCTTCAGTGCTAGGCTCTGCTGAAATCCTCGACCCCCAACTCCATGACATTTGGCCTCCTGTTTGTTCGGAGGGAAAATGAGAGCTCATTCTGTCTCAGGTGAGATTCCATAGCCATGCAAAGGCTGCAGAGCAGGGAATGATCCCTCCCCTGCTGTCCACTTCCAGCTTCTGGCTGTCAGAGATGAAGGACACCCAGACAGGGATGCCAGAACAGGGCAGGCCAAAAGGCCATGGCCTGTCCACTCTTCACCATGGACCCCTCCCACTGCTTCTCTTCTTCCTTCCGAGACTCTGTCCCCCGGCCAGGCCAGAAGCTGGACTCCAGCCCAAGGAAGAGTGGCTGGGGAGCCTGGGCAGTGGTGGGGAGCTGCAGACCACCCATCTACTCAGGGTCAGGAGGCCAGAGCAGTTCCCAGCCTGCATCCTTGTCCCCACAAACCCCCCACAGCATTTGGAGGATCTGTAGCTCCACACAGAGACCCAGATGACTCTTACCATGGCCCAGCTGCAGCTGTTTGGCCCCCAGGCAAAAAGGAAAAGCCAGATGGGGGTAAGAGCTGCTCAGGCAGCTGTAGTTCCCACTCGTAGGTCGAATCTGGAGCCCCTGCACCCAGAGCATGGCATTGCATCCCTGCCTATCCTGGTTACTAGCCACTGATGGCCTTGTCCTCCATGAACTTAGTTTATTCTTTTTTGAGCCCTGCTATAGTTTTGGCCTTTAGCAATGGAAAGAGCATGCAGTCTGCTTGGTCTGAGCATGTGAGGGATTCTAGGGGCCCCAAACTGAACGAGGTCTGGGAACAGAGCAATGCAGGGGTAGGCAGGTTCAGGGCCTGTTCCCAGTGGTGGAGCAATGTAAAAGGACACTGGGAGCCCAGGAAAGGGAGAGGCACATGGGCGGGCACACCAGGCTGATGCTGAGAGCTGGATCAGGAGTAGCAACACCTTCGTGAAGACTCCTCTAGCAGCAGGGACAGAGCATGTGTAACCCACACACCTACTGGGGGTGGCCACTGTGCTGTGGATTGGCCCTTAGACCACTTCCAGAGAGAGAATGAGCTTGCTCTACAGCAGTGTCACCAGCCAGTCGATCGGGATCCACACGTGGATCTTGGAGCCCCTGACAGGTGACCCTGACTGGTTTGGCCAAGAGGCTGTCAAGTGCCAGCACTTCAGCTGCCCCTCCCCCTACTGCTGCGCCTCTCCTGCCCTTTGCCCTGGTGCTGCCTCCCCCCACCTCTGGGAGCCTCCTGTGTGCTGGGACGGCAGCGGAAGAAAGGGGGGTGCTGATGTCAAGGTGCCCCCTCTATCACCCTGTAACTGTCTCCACAGAACAGAGTGGGGGGCACAACAGGACTTGGCATGGAGTTTGCTGGCTGCTTTAGGGAGTGGTCCAGAGCCAGGGCAGGGGTGAGGCTGCCTTAGCCCCACTGCACCCCCACCCAGGAGCCACCTGAGGTAAGCAGTGCCCAGCTGGAGCCCGCATCCTGAAACCCTAGCCCAGTCATGAACCCCCTTGTGCACCCCAAGACCCTGCCCTAGCCCCGAGCACCCTGCATCCAAACACCCTCCCAGAGCCTGCACCTAGAACCCCCTCCGGCATCTCAGCTCAGAGCCCCTCTTGCACTCCCAATCCCTTAATCCAAGGCCAGAGCCTGCACCCCAACCTGGAGAAAGTGAGGAAGGATGGGGGAGGGAGGAAAGATGGAGTGAGCAGGGTTGGGGGGTCTCAGAGAAAGGGCACAAAGGAGGTCGGGCAAGGGGATTTGGGTTTGAGGTAGATCTTGGATTGCACTTCAATTCAAAAGGTGATTGCATGCTTCAGAATACTACAGACTCTGCTCTACAGCCTTGGCTGAGCGCCAGCTGGCTTTTAGCTCAAGCTGTAGTGTAGCGGCTCCTGCACTAAACTCCAGAGGTCCCAGGTTCAGTTCTGCCTGTTGACGTTGCACGTGCACTGCACTGCCCACCTACTGCTTCTCTGTGGCAATGACCATGTGTCTTATGTTTGGAGGTGAGCCCAGTTACAAGTTCCTAAAGGAGCAACATGGTGCTGAAGAGGTGGGAGCAGAGAGGTCTCTCCTGCCCAGCCCAGCCCTGTGACAGGAAGAGGGAATGTAGGGCACATACATGGCCAGGCACAGTAATCCCACACAGGCGAATAAGGAGGTTGTCAACACCATTTTCAAAGCTGAGCAGAAGTTCCTGATTCTTCAGCATTTGGGTGTGCACCTGGTGTAGCCGGACCTCTTCCTCCTCCAAATTCCGCTTCAGTTCTTCCTCCAGTTTCCTAGAGCTACATACATGCAAATGCACACACACACGTACATATGTGCACACACAAGTGCTGGTATTTCTTCCAGCTGTTATTCTTCCGGGTTATACTTATGCAAGCCTCATCCACACATCATCTGGATGCTCTTTAGCTGGCTCAGATCAGCAGCATTGCTCCCAACCTCTCCCAGACACTGCACAGGAGCACACAAGCTGCGACTCCTGCAGTATAGCAACCATGAGCAGCGGGTGCACCCACTTTGGGGAGGCCAGCCCTGCCCATCTGCCCAAGCCTTGAAGCTACCACCCTATTTAAAAAGAAAAGCACGGAAGGGTTCCCCAAACTGAAGGAGCCCCAAACCGCCCACCCAAGCCACAATGGACTGAGCCATCCACTCCCCAACAGCACCACTGAGTCTCTCTCCCCTGGCTCCTGAGCACCAGGCCAGTCTCAGTGCCTGGCTGAGCCCACAGCCTCCCTGAGGGATACAGTGAGCAGCAAGGACCCTGGGGGCGGGGGCTGACTGGAGGAAGCAGTGGGACTCTTGGGGAAGGGAGGCACCGCAGCCCATTGTCTGTCATCAGGTCGGTGGCATCTGCCTTCCCTGGCCTACTATACTCACCGCCCATGACAGCAACATTAAAATCCTAGAATCCTAGAATACTAGACTGGAAGGGACCTTGAGAGTCATCAAGTCCAGTCCCCTGCCGTCACAGCAGGGCCAAGCACCATCTAGACCATCCCTGACAGGTGTCTGTCCAACCTGCTCTTACATATCTCCAGAGCTGGAGATTCCACAACCTCAAGAGCAGGCATGGAAAAAAGCTAAGCAGCAGGCACCTTGTCCTGCATCCTGGAGCCTGGGCCATCAAGTGTGTCATATGAGGCCTGACACTGAGGTGTTTCCAGGAGGGACAAATTGTGGAAGTGAAAGCCTGCTGCAGAAAATGCCCTGTCCCCTTCCAAAAGCGATCTTGGTTCTGCACAGCTACGTGCAGTGGAGCTTGTGGCTCTCAGACACGTAGCAAAATCTTTTGCTCCACATCCTCCTTTGCAAACAGCACATGGGATTCAGGGGAATTAACCACATGGCTACAGAAGTGCAGCGGAGAAAGCTTAGTAGTGGGGGGAAGGGAGCGGACTGTGAGAATTAAGAGTACATCATATCCCATCCTCACACCCAGAACATGAGCAGCTATGGAGCAGGCACCAACCAGGGCAGAAAACGCACCTTATGAGCCTGAATTGCAACATATGCCTCTTCTCAGAAGCTACGCCATCAGGGTGTAGATGGGAGCAGGTGGCAGCAGCATAGAGCCCAGCAGCACTGTGCAAGGGTAGATACCTACCTTATGGAGCTTGGGGTCTGGTGGAATTTCAGCTCTGCACGTTCCAGTTCCAGCTCCTTCAAGTTGGCCTCCAGCTCCTTACGCTTTTGCTCACATTCCACTATCTGCTGTTGCAGGTTCTCCCCAGACTTCTGCTGGGCCAGGAACCTCCCTGCGATATCCTGGCCAGGGGGCAGGAGGAGGCAGCAGCATCAAAACAAAATGCATCAGATCAGGAAGAATACAGGACCTCTGAGATCCCAGCTCTGCTCCCAGGGCTTGCGGGGCTCACCAGCTTCAGCCAGACGTCCGGGATCATGTGAGCCCAGTTGCAGGGATAGTTACTCTGTTTTGGGGGCTCCTTGGAGGGACTGCTCAGTAAGAGCTGGGCAGCATCTGGCTGTGGCTTTGGGGTCCCCCCTCAGCAAAGCCCCTTAGGAGTTTCAGGTGACTTCTAGGGCCATCCTTGCCTATCGGTGCTTGACATAATGGATAGGACCCTGACCACTGGCCTCAGTCCTCAGTTCCAATTCAGAGCTGAGTCAAGAGTCTGATGCCTCTTTCCCCCTGTTGCACATCCCAAGGGTCCCGTCCCCTTGTGACAGAGTCTGCTGCTACCAGCACTCTGCAAATCAAACTGCTGTAGGCAGCTGGAGCAAGAGGGAAGGCAGAGGAAGAGCACCTCAGCCAGCCACTCTGGGCCGTGGCAGAAGGGAGCTCAGAGAGCAGCTCCCAGCACACAGGAGTCACCAGGGCACCCTCCGCAGTCAGAGCTGTTGGGAGAGACAAGCTCTCAGCTTGAGTGAGACTGCTCAGGCTCCTGGGGATACCGCCCCTAGGTGCTTCTGAGGCTCAACATGGGCATAAGCATAGTATGAATATTACATCTCCTTAGCACAGGCACTCCCATGCTCCTAGCAGATCCCAGGACCACAGAAGGGCTCCCTCCAAGACATGACAGGGACATAGGCAGGGCATGGGGGAGCTGTCCACCCCAGGGGTCTGGAACAATTTGTAGAGTGGGGGCACTGAGAGCCATTGAACCACACTGTAAACTCTGCATCTGATGGAAACTATTTCCAGGTGGGGCTGTGGCTGCCCCCAGTGCCCTCTTCCAGCACCTACGTCCATGCAGGACAGAAGCTTTCAGCCTCCCAGGCTGACAACCCAGCATTCCCTCCCCTGAAGCCACATCCCAAGCAAGCACCATTACCCAAAGGTGTGAGCACTGTACTGCACACTTGATCTTGTCCACCTCAGCCGTCACTAGGGCCTGATGCTCAATCTGGGCTTTGGAGGCCTCCAGCTTTGCACCTAGGTGTAGGGAGGAAGCAGCAATGAGACCAGTGTTAGATTACCACATCTGGGGCAGGCCTGGGGGCCAGAGGAGGGAGTCAAACAGGCCAGCCATGCAGGGGGCCACGCAATGACACCCCAATGACGGCCAAGGACTGCAGCAGTCTATGGGCAAGGTATGAATAACAAGCTCCCCAGGTGAATGCTGTATCCCCTAGTCCACTCCAGAAGCCAGCCTACCTCCCTACCTTCAGGGGGTCCTTATTGTGCCTTCCTAATACGGGAGCCAGGTTGAGCATAGATAAGAGCTGACTGGAACCTTGGGTGCTTGTGTGCCCAGAACTACGCCCCACACTCTACAGAAGCATGGCAGGGAACAGCCCACTTGGCCAAGGAGACATTCCAATACAAGGCCAAGCTCTCATTAGCTAATCCTACCTGCTCCTAGCAAGGGCTGGCTCCCACATTAATGCCAGCCCTGAGCCAGGTCCCTCGACCCCTGTCCCCAAGCAGGGCCACTGAAGAAAATCCCTTCCTGGTATGCAGGGGCCCAGAGACAGCCTAGGCTGTATTAAGTTTGCAGATGATCCCGAGCTGGGAGGGGTCGCGACTGCTCTGGAGGACAGGGTCATAATTCAAAATGATCTGGACAAAGTGGAGAAATGGTCAGAGGTAAACAGGATGAGGGTTAATAAGGACAAATGCAAAGTGCTCCAGTTAGGAAGGAACAATCCGTTTCACACATACAGAATGGGAAGCGACGGTCTGGGAAGGAGTATAGCAGAAAGGGATCTAGGGGTTATAGTGGATCACAAGCTGAATATGAGTCAGCAGAGTGATGCTGTGGCAAAAAAAGCAACCATGATTCTGGGATGCATTAACAGGTGTGTTGTGAGCAAGACACGAGAAGTCATTCTTCCGCTCTACTCTGCGCTGGTTAGACCTCAGTTGGAGTACTGTGTCCAGTTCTGGGCACCGCATTTCAAGGAAGATGTGGAGAAATTGGGCAGGGTCCAGAGAAGAGCAACAAGAATGATTAAAGGTCTAGAGAACATAACCTATGAGGGAAGGCTGAAGGAATTGGGTTTGTTTAGTTTAGAAAAGAGAAGATTGAGGGGGGACATAACAGCCGTTTTCAGGTATCTAAAAGGGTGTCATAAGGAGGGGGGAGAAAACTTGTTCATCTTGTCCTCTGAGGATAGAACAAGAAGCAAGGGACTTAAACTGCAGCAAGGGAGGTTTAGGTTGGACATTAGGAAAAACTTCCTAACTGTCAGGGTGGTCAAACACTGGAATAAATTGCCCAGGGAGGTTGTGGAATCTCCATCTGTGGAGATATTTAAGAGCAGGTTAGATAAATTCCTATCAGGGATGGTCTAGACAGTATTTGGTCCTGCCATGAGGGCAGGGGAGTAGACTCGATGACCTCTCGAGGTCCCTTTCAGTCCTAGTATTCTATGATTCTATGACAACCATGTCCAAAGGCCAGAGTAGGGGGTTTCTTGGTTCTGCTTGCAGGCTAGGCTGTGGGAGCTCAATGCAAGAGAAATGTGCAACCTGGTCTTTGAGTGACTAGTCTGTAGCAAGCCAGCGCAGTGGAGACAGAATAAGTAGTGCATCTCTGCTGTATGGAGCAGCTTGCTTGGTTTCACTCCTGTTTTGGTTCCAGTGCGTTATTGTTTTGGATTCTCTGATGTTACAATTTCCAGCAAGAGTTTTTTAACTAACTTCTCTGTGTACGTTCAATGACCATGACACTTCCCAGACAGGCTTAAGTGGTGAGGGAACCTTGGGCTGGGCTGCAGGCCAAAACACGACTGGAGTTGCAACATTCACCATGGGGTCAGTGTTGTCCCCAGTGACCTCAGCAAGAGCAGGACCAGGCCGCATGGGATCACGTCTCCCACCCAGAGCAGCCAGTAGTGAATGCTCATCAAGTGTGTTTGCTGGAAAAAGGGGAAGAGAAGGCAGAAGAGAAATGGCCAGATGCCAGGATTGCCCATCTCCAAGCTGGACATTCATCCCCCCGCCTGTCACCCTGCCTCAGGCAGCGGCCAACACCTATTTCTGGTGGCCAAGGGATGCTGCCATTGCCCTCAGCAGGCTATGCTCTGAAGCTGCCAGTTTCGAATGCTGACCCAGCATCCCCATGAGCCAGCACACTGCAGATGGGCCCTGGCCAGAATGCCACTCACCTTTCAGCGAGTCACGTGATATCAGGGTTGGGAAATCCACATTGAGCTCTCGCCTGGCCTGCTGCAAGGGAATCAGAAGCAACCAAGTCACAGCAAAGTGTGGGAGGAAATGAGGCACCTGGCCCATGCCAAGCCAAACTGGCCTCAGGGCAGAGCCAACTTAAGAGGCTGGCCCCTAGTAATAACCTAGAAATAGCCCCTGTCTGCCGGGGGGATCCCAAAGCACTTCATACCCAGGGGCCGAGATCTGCCTATGTGAGGTGCCTACCTGGCCCTCAGAGGATCTCTAATGATGGCAGAGGGGAGCTGAGGAGACCCAGTTCAAGGCTCCACTTTGCATTGGATCCCGTAAGTCAAACAACTGGGCAGCTGCAGCCCACCTGAAAGGCACCCCCTGCTAAGGGCAGTCAGGATGGGGAAGGCCCCCAAATGTCCCATTCCCCATCCCCAAGCCAGGCACCCCACATGAGCTCACTCGCACATCTGCGCCCACAGTTCACATGGACTCACCACTCTCCTGTGCCGCTCACTTGCGTCCTTGACCCGGATCCTGTCGATCTGTTTCTTTTGGAAGTTCAGGGAATTCTCCCGGAACTTCCTCTCTGCAATGAACTCACTTTCCATGTTGGTCATGTCTGCCTGGAGTGGGGTACCGCCAGGCAAGGGAGGAACAATCACCACATCAGTCACGTCCCTTGCACACCAAAGCACTGCACCAGCTGCACCCCGCCCCCCAGCACTGCTGCAGTGAAGCCACCTCTGGGGCAGGGCGGGGGGGCAGACACCCAGCCCAGAGTGCACAGCACAGCAGTGGGAGGAGGCAACCCCCTGCATCCTATGAAATGTGCCCGGAGATCATTAATGCCTGCGCAGAGCTGGCAGAGCCTCCGTTTGCAATGTCTTTTCCAACGGACACTACAAAATAAGCAGCCTGGGGTGCTGGAGAGGCAGGGCTTGAACCTGTCTGGGTGTTTCATTCCTAGTGCTGTCAGCACCCAGGCGAGGGGCGGCTCAGGGGCTGAGCACTGGAATCCCCCACTCAGTTTGTTCTGCTCTTTAAGGCAAGACAATTCGCTGGAACAGGGTGGGGAACCTGAGGCCTTGGGCCAGATGCAGCCTCTGGCTTGCCTAGAGCCATCTCCCCGAGGCTCAGGTCCCCTCCTCTGCCCAGCATTGGGGAGCTTTACTGGCACTCCAGCCTCCCCATGTGGCTGGAGCACACACTCTGCTGCCCAGCCCCCCCTGCTCTGGTGTGCAAGGGGAATCTGGGGAGTTGGGGGCCACCACATCAGCGAGGGGCTTTGTTTGGGTTTCTTTCTTTGCACCTCACTTTGCATGCAGCCCCCGACTGAATTTTCTGTAGCTCGTGGCTCCCAAACCAAAAAAACTTCCCCACCCAGACCTAATGGATCCCTAGATAGGTCCCTGCATTCGCAGATGCAGCAGCCCTTGAGCCAGGACCATTCCCAGCATGATTCCCAAGCAGGAGGTCTCACCTTGGCTGCTTCTGTCGCTTCAGTGGCATCCACAGCCATTAGTCTCATGCCCTTCAGCTCCACCTGGTAGACGTCTACCATGTGCTGAAGGACGTTCAGCTGCAAAGGGAGCTGGGCTAGTTCCTAGGACACAGACAGCAATGTTCACCACCTCCAGGACATACTGGTGCAATACAACCCTGTGCTCCCACCTCCTCAATGAGAGGCAGCATGATGGAGAATGGGCGGGAACCACCTCTGGAATCAACAAGGAACTCAACAGCACTAATCCGGGGCCATCTAGGCCACTTGTGGTAACACCCAGGCAGTGCACTGCCACCCTATGTCCCTGCCAAAAATCTTGATTTCTAAATGGGGGGCTCCCACATGTTCCTTCCCTGTTCCTCTGGGTGGCCCTTCCTGCATCCCCTCCCTTGCAGGTACCGGCACCTCTGCTGGGCCAGATTTTCTCCTGCATGAAGATCTGCTTAGAACAGGTAGGGGAGGGGGCATTGGATCCTACAGGACCATGCACCAACTAAGAACAACTGTAAGAGAGCAAAGTTTCACCCCATCCTATTCTGCCTTCCCAGCTCCCTTACATCTCTCCTTGATGGGGCAGAGGCAGCCCCGAAGAAATTCTCCATTGGCCAGGTCATACCCCACTTGGTACCACACAGGTCACGGGTATAGAGAACAGGGGTTGAGGTGTTTTTAGCTTCCCAGAATGTAGGGACTGCATTAATAAATCAAGGCGGCACAAAGCGTTTGGAACCAGAGCTCATTTAGCTCACAGATTTAGTCATGTCCCAAAACTGCTCATGAAAACATAAAACCTGAGCAAAAAGAACTTTTTCACAAATGTGAAAAAGTCGCTGTGACGTAGTGGGGGTATCTGGCTGGTTTCTATGCTGGCTCTGTGGTAACCCCCACTGGCTGCTGTCAGTACCACGGCCCAGCAAGACAGGGGATGAGTCATTATGCAAAGAGGGGCTCTCAACCTGTCTGACCAGCTACCCCCGCAGGGAGAGAAACAAAGGAAGGGGGAAAGCTGCCCCTGGCTGGGGGGCAGGGCTGGAAGAGAGTTAGCTAGTCTCTGTCTGGGAGCGTGCAGGAGACGGGAAAACCCCAACGCGTCGTCACAGTCGCAAACTATGATTTTCACCCTGCATTGCTTGCAATGGATTCTTTTGCCACATATGTAAGTATCAGCTTTGTCCTCAGTACATGTAAAAAAAAACTCCACACCAATTGACCTAGTTTTGTCCCATCATGGATCAAAGGCACTGAAGAGTGCTGAAGCTAGCTTCACTTACACCATTGGTTGCGATCTCATCAAAATCAGGTATTGTCAATTTCAGCACCTTGGAAAACAGTCACTTCTCAGTTTGGCAGAGCAAGCTGAAATATTTATGAACTGCTTTCACTGATCTTTCTGTAAGCTGACAACTGACTTGAAACGTAGGAGGCTGAGTAACCATACACCGGTAGCATGTACTGAAATAGCATTCCTGTTACATTTTGTGTTGTTCTGAGCATAATATTTTCAATAAATGTGTAGCCTCTCTGTTCAAGCCTTGATTGAACACTAGACATTGAAAAATCAATTACTTTGCAGTAGATGTACTGATCAAACTCTTTTGCTGTGTTTGGGTAGTTGGGTTTACCTGTTCCTATTTGCATTTTCTTAGAACCTTTTCTCTTCCCTGGAAGCTCATGCCTTCTATATTCATTTTCAAACTGCTCTGACAGATTTGTTCCCAAATTAAGTTGTAGGTTTTGTGCGATTAGCTACTGAAGTGAATTCAGTGTCATTTTCACATGATATCAACCGCCCAAGAGGAAAACTCTTGCCCTTTGCAGCATATAACACATTGTCAAAGTTTTTAGGATTTCTCAACCTAGTTCAATACCAAGAGGAAGTTTAACTTTTCCATTTGAGCTCTGAGCTGTAATTTCAGAATCTCTCACTGCGTCTTTTGTAACCTCTCAAGTTACCCACAGTGAAAGATTGCTCTCAAATGAACAGCTCAGAGTCTAGTTGGCAGCTGGTATCAAGCAGAACGTTCCAGGGTTTGATCCTGAGGTTGGTTTTGTTCAACATTTCCATTAATGACCTGAATGAGGGGATTGATTGCATCCTCAGCAAGTTTGTGGATGACACTACGGGTGCATCTACACTGCAGGGCTTAACTCAAAGTAAGCCATGCAAACTGAACAACATCAATTGCGTCTTATTTCGAAATAGCTTATTTTGAAATAAGGAGCATCTACACAGCACTTATTTTGAAATTGAGCATTTCTTCCTCCAACTTCCCTTACTCCTCATACAATGAGGGTTACAGGAATCGGAGTAAGAAGTCCTCCAGCTTGACAGTATTTTGACACTATTTCAAAATAACTGCCTGCTGTGTAGACATGGAGTAAGTTATTCGAATAGCACTAGTCATTTCTAAATAGTGTTGCAATGTAGACATACCCTAAGCTAAGGGGAGAGGTAAATATGCTGGAGAATAGGGAGAGGTTCCAAAGTGACCTAAACAAATTGGAGGATTGGGCCAAAAGAAATCTGATGAGGTTCAACAAGGACAAGTGCAGAGTCCTGTCCTTGGGATGGAAGAATCCCAAGCACTGTTACAGGCTGGGGACTGATTGGCTAAGCAACAGTTCGGACCTGGAGATTACTGTGGATGGGAAGCTGACTATGAGTCAACCGTGTGCCCTTGTTCCCAAGAAGGTTAATGGCATATTAGGATGCAATAGGGAAGATAATGGAGCAAGTAATTAAGGAAATCATCTGTAAACACTTAGAAGGTGGCAAGGTGATGGGGAACAGCCAGCATGGATTTGTAAAGAACAAATCATGTCAAACCAATCTGATAGCTTTCTTTGATAGGATAAGGGAGAAGCGGTGGATGTGGTATACCTAGATTTTAGTAAGGCGTTTGATACGGTCTCACATTATATTCTTATCAATAAACTAGGCAAATACAACTTAAATGGGGCTACTATAAGGTGGGTGCATAACTGGCTGGATAACCGTACTCAGAGAGTAGTTATTAATGGTTCACAATTCTGTTGGAAAGGTATAACAAGTGGGGTTCCACAGGGGTCGGTTTTGGGACCGACTCTGTTCAGTATCTTCAACGATTTAGATATTGGCATAGACAGTACGCTTATTAAGTTTGCAGATGATACCAAGCTGGGAGGGGTTGCGACTGCTCTGGAGGAGAGGGTCATAATTAAAAATGATCTGGACAAATTGGAGAAATGGTCTGAGGCAAACAGGATGAAGTTTAATAAAGACAAATGTAAAGTGCTCCACTTAGGAAGGAACAATCAGTTTCACACATACAGAATGGGGAGCGACTGTCTAGGAAGGAGTACGGCAGAAAGGGATCTAGGGGTTATAGTGAACCACAAGCTGAATATGAGTCAGCAGTGTGATGCTGTTGCAAAGAAAGCAAACATGAATCTGGGATGCATTAACAGGTGTGCTGTGAGCAAGACACGAGAAGTCATTCTTCCGCTCTACTCTGCGCTGGTTAGGTCTCAGTCTAGACAGATTTTGGCCCTGCCATGAGGGCAGGGGACTGGACTCGATGACCTCTCGAGGTCCCTTCCAGTCCTAGTATTCTATGATTTCTATGATTGTGTTCTACTCCAGAGATGTGTTACTGGGGTGCCTCCAGCACCTACCAACAAGGGGGTGGTTACTGCTGGGGACTGGAAACCCTCCCTCTGCCAGAGAAGCATCCAGCTGGGCTGGTTTGCACACAACTAGCTCAAGCTGGTTTCCCACTGATTAGAAAATCAGAGCGTTTGGTATCAGGCTGGTCTGAACTGAGACAAGGCCTTCTCCCCAGTCCCACAGATGGATGTGAAGGGTTGCGGGGGGGGACACCTTGAACTTGGCCTCACCAACAGTGACTCCTGGTATGTTCAGTAGATGTTTGCAGCTGTTTTACCTCAGGACTGGAGCTGCTGCCTAGGAAGAGCTGCGCGATGACATTTAAGTGCCAATGCTGGGAACATCAAATGGAAGGCAGGGAATTGTGCAGCAGTAACCCCCCTCCCCACCCCAGAACGGAGTGGGACAAAAGTTCCTGCCTAAGGCAAAGGCGAGAGCAGGGTCCGAAGTGGAGGCTGGAGCGGGGGCCTGCTAGTCAAAGACGCAGACCTAGGAACAGACCCTGTGCTGGGAGCAGGGCTGCAGAAGGTGCAGCCAGTGGCCATTCTCTGAGGCTGCCCGTCTCTCCTCTCCTCCGTGAGGGCGGATCTGCATTCCCGAGTCCTCTTGCAGCAAAGAAGCGAGCAAGCTGCATGAAGTGGGGCTCACCCAGGCACTCAGAATTCTGCATCAAGAAGAGCGGCCCCACCTGCTGAGCCATTTCCCAGCCAGGAAAGAAAGGGGCCAGAGCCTGGCACAGGACAGGAGAGACCCTCCCCATCCCTGATGACCAAAAGTCAGCTGAAACCAAGGGGCACCAAGCAGCCCTCAGATTCCCAGAGAACAGCCCAAGTTACTGGCAAACTGTGCCTACCACAAAAATTAGATCATGTCAGAATGAGAATCTGCAGCTGTTGTTTGATGTTTTTCCGCTCTGACCCCTCTCGCTGAATAAGCTGTCTTTGCCCCGGCAGGTGGTGCAAACGGGGCAGAAGTGGAGCTGAGACTCTGGTCCAAGGATCTTCAAAACAGCTGTGTTTTCCAAATGGCCCCACACAGCGTACTTTGTTGCTTTCTCCTTGAAGCATTATCCCTTGCAATGCTGCACATCACCTCCTCTGACTTCCCAGGGCCCACCAGGCTGAAAATCACACACCTTGTGGCTCTCACTGCAGCACTGCCCAGCCCACACTTGGCAATTCCACTGCACATTCCTTCCCGCAGCCCTGTGCGGACTGCTCCTGGCACACAGAAGTGCAGACATCTCTGCATTTAACACAAACTGGTCACGTGCACTCCTTGGGGGTTCTAACAAGACACCGTTTACACCAACATGCAGCAGGACTTCCCTGGACATGAATGCCGGATTGCCTTTTAAGCCAAAAATATCTTTCTGAAGATGAGCCTATTATGATCTGCCAGCTGAACCACATTCCTTGACACTAAGCTCACACTTGAGAATGGAAATAGATCAGTAGCATTTCCACACACTCTCCAGTCCAGCAACTGTTTTGGCAGCACCAGCTTGGGAGGCATGCAAAGCCGACAGGCAGCTTCTCCAAAGAGATGGGTTTGCCACCCAATCTGGGTTTCAGCATGTGTCTGGGATCCACTTGACAGGTGGGTTTTTCTAGTCTGAGAGAAAGGTGGCACCCTTTGGAGGAAGGAAGCCACCACGGCAGCAGCCGCGGCAACCACCGCCAGCAGGCTACTTATGCGGTTCCTGGTGGCGCGTGGTGCTTGGGACAGGGCCTGGGAGAAAAGAGGCAGAGAAAGGGCAAGGCCTTGGGGGAAGAAGTGGGGCTGGCTGGGGCCTTGATGGAAGAGAAGAGGAGCAGGGCCTCAGGGTCTGGTTACTCTACAAAGGACCAGAGCAGGGCTGGAAAGGAAAGCCACCTCATATGTGGGCCTAACCCCAGAGCCAGTTCCCAGAATAAGGCTGCGTCCAGGAGCCTCAGGGAGGTGATTCCAAGCAGAGACTGGCCTGGATCCAGACCTTGGCTCAGATACCCTGGAGCTGTGAGGAAATTGCAATTTGTAGCTGAAAATGATGGCTGTTTTCTATCTACCCCAGGGCAGACCTGGCCCAGCAAGATCACTAATGCCATCAGCACCTGCTACCTAGTTCCTCCATGCGCCTGGCCCCAGATTTCCATAAGGACACGGGGATTCCTGTGATCCCTTCTGGCCAATGCCTGTAACTGCTCCTTGATGCTACTCCATGGCCCGCACCTCCCAGCGTATCCCTGTTTTGCTCTATAGTAGAGACTTAGAGCCTGGTCTTGGTCCTGCCCACACCAACGGCAAAGGCTGGGGCCCCAGCCTGGCTTATGCCCCTGTTTGTGGCATACAGTAGCCTGGAGAGACCATATGGGGGAGGGAACTCACATCCTTCAGGAAATCCACCATCTTTAGGTACAGGTAATAAATCTTCTCGCCAGTCGTGATCTTCATCAGCATCTTCTCTATGTTATTCTCCAGCTGACGAATCACCTGCAATAGAGAAGGCCTTTGTGTTGCGTCACTGGGCTGCCTGGGACATGACAATGCTCCTGGGAACCAAAAGGGCTGGGGCAGGCTCCAGGGCCCTCAGCTATGGGGAGAGCCCATTGACTTGGTGCTCCAGTGAGATTCTGCATTGTGCACTGCCCTTGCCATGGGTTTGAAGCCCAGCAGCCTCCCATGACACACCACAGCATGTTCAAGAGACACTAGTAACGGGGCCCAGTGAGAATGGCAGTGGGGAGGCTGCATGCTGCTGTTGTACAGTGCAGGGCACCCAGCTTGCGAACTTCTGGGGCCATAAGCCAGGAAATGCTCCTGCCTCATAGAAGCTTGGTTTGTACTGGGCCCAGGTTCCTGCTCTGCAGACCCGTGGGAGGAGTAGGGCTGGTCTCTGCAGGCAGGGAAGGTCGGGATCACTCTGTGACCACCCCATGGCAGAACTAGAATTGGAGATGGAGTTCCAAGGGGCTCCTCACCCAGGCCTCAGCAGCTGGAACAAGGCCCCGTGATGTGGCGCCATCAGGTGCAGCAGTGCAAGTGAGCATGTGTGGGCCAAGCATGCACATGGTTGTCTGGGTAGGAATGCCCTGGCTGGCTGGAACTGCCATGGGGGCTGTCCAGAGCTCACCCCCTCCACAGAAAAGGGAGCTGGGGCCAGAGCGGACATCAGTGGGGCCAGCACGTTCACAGCCCTCCCCAGGACCTGGCCTATTGCTGTCACCACAGATGTCTGGTCTGTATACTCCTCCGCTGGCGCTGAGCCTGTCTCACCTGCAGCTGCAGCTGGCCCTGTCTGTCAGCTCCTTCCATGTCTGTCAGGTGTTGCAGCTTCTGCTGCAGCCCCTCCAGCATGGCTCCCTGCTGCTTTGCCTCGTACAGCAGCATATTGTGCACGTTCATCCTCTCAAAGATGGAGTTCTGCAGCGTCTCGCGGGCAGCCTGAAAGAGACGTGGCACTCGGGGGCACTGGCTGGACTCCCCCACAAGCAGCCTGCAAAGCCGAGCCAGCCCACAGGCAGCCTTGCAGCAGAGACCCCAAAGGGAGGCGAGCCGGGGAGAGGTGATGGTCGGATCCCTGCTGCCAGTCATTGCCATGTACAAGTAGCAGCTAAGCCCTAAGATGGAAGCCAGCGGCAGGGGGCAGGCTGGGAAAACTGAGCCCCAGGGAGCTGTGCAGAGGCTCTTTGCAGGGTGCAGATCTGGCTCTGAAAGTCTGATGCATTAATCACAGTCACATCTGGAAATTGAGGCACATCCTGGGCCCACAGCACCTCACTCCTCTCCCTGGGGCTGCCCCAGCGCAGTGAACACAGAGCCCCCGGGGTTGGACGTGACTCCTGCTCCCTGGCCTGGCAACAAGGACCCCAGCTGATGCTGAGGCCCTTCCTGCTCCCATGTTAATCTCTGGCATGTCCTGAATCCAGCAGGCAGGGAAGGACCCTGTCACCTGTGAGGACAGCACTAGAGCAGTGCTGCACAGTGAAGAGCCTTTGAACTGTAGGAATGACAGGGACATTGACACTTGGGAGCAACATGAGCCTTCTCTAGGTCTCTATGCTGTATCCTGTGACAACAGCGCAGAAACAAAACTCCTGCCAGCCGAGCTAGAGGAGACTCTCCAGTAACTGTTCACAGTATAGGGTCTAAGGCACACAGCAGAACAGTTCTCACTGCAGCCAGCACAGGGCTGTAGGGTGTGTGCACAAACATACACACACTCCCCAGCTCACTACCGTACAGCCCCCTGGAGCTTGGACGACATGTACCCAAGGGGGACGATATCCTTCAGGGTCCCCTCCAGCCTCCCATTTTCTCTGCTCTGTTGCTGGGCAGCATGTGTCAGAGAGGCTGGACAAATGCTCTGCCAATTACCTCCACGGTGCTCCTGGCTAAATGCATCTTCAGCCGCTTTTGCTCCCAACACGCCTGGGAAATGGTCACTTGGTCATGCTGTGGGCAGGAGGGGGACAGAGAGAAACTTGGGAGCCAAGTTACATTGCTGATCTGCCCACGTGTGCATGCAGCATTGTTAGAGCTTTACGCTCAGGGATTAGCCCGTCTGCCCCCAGTTAACGCAAGGCAGCTACACATTCTGTGGCCCTCCATTTTTGGCAACCAATCCAGAGCCAGCTGGAGCCTGCCTTTCAGGTGGTTGCCTGTCCCTGCCGCCAGCTGACCAGAGCGGGTGCTCTCAGTGCCTCTGGGCCAGGACGACTCATGTTGTGACCCAAAGTGCAGGTGCCCCAACTGAGGCCAGAGCGACCTGCCCAAGATCTGCCAGCAAGGAGAGTGGAGGGCAGAGGCCTCGGCCTCTGTGTCTGGCTGTGACTGTGACTGCCCCTCTAGCCGGCTGGTTTGCCAGGCCCCAGGACTGAGCATTTGACCCACAGAGCAGAACTGCCTGGGGAGCTGTGGGGGGCCCAGCCTTGCCCCACGGCGCTTACACTGCTGAGCCAGCGGGAGCAGCTCAGACCCTGGTGGCCCACAGCATGGGGGCAGCACCAGGGGGCTGGAGAGATGGGCGCAGGGCATCCCAGGGTACGTCTACACTGCTGGGGGTTTCTGGGATACCTCCAGTGTCCCAGAAAAACGCTGCCACGTCCAGGGAACGTGTTTGCTCTGCCGCTTTTTTTGCGGAAGTGCAAACGTGCTTTTTTGGAAGCCCTGTGTTCCTCTTCCGGAAAAAAAAAAATCGAAAAAAGCTGTGGTGTAGACCTAGCCCCGGGGGGGAACAGCCTTCCCGTGCTGGGCAGCACAGCAACAGCAGGGGCCAGAGCTGGGCAAGATGGGGGTTAGCCCTGTCTGGACAGGCCCCAGGGGAGAGATGCCCAAGGCTGGGAGCACAGTTTGGGGGCGGGCAGCAGTAGCGTACTGAATGGAATTTCCCTTGGTCTCCTGCTGGCCCCAGGGGCGACAGGTGAATTCTCTCAGAGCTGCAGCATGCTGGAGAGCCTCCCCAGCACCAAGCCCCTTACACCACCCACCGGCTCCCCGCCTCACATCAACCTGGGCCACTGGCCATGGTCCCCAGCCACAAGTGCAGTGACACAGCAGCAGCTGCCTCGTCATGGCCGTCGGCAAGATCATGCTAGCCCCTAGCATGGGCAGGGCCTGGGCTCCAAATACCAGGCAGACCCAGGGCAGACTGTCCCTGCCCTACAGCACCCACAATCTATCGCTAATGTCTCCCAGCCAGCTCATGGCCCTGAGTTCTCTTCTGCTCCTGCTGCTCTTTAAAACCACTAACCGCTGAACTGAGGAACTACAGATGGGGGGTGCAAACCCCAAAGGGCATGCAAGGGGTCCGGGCAGGGAAACCCTCCACTAGAAGGGTGTGCCGGGGCACCGGCAGGGCAAATGTTCCCCTCCCTCCCAAGGGTGCACTGGGGGGGGCGGGCAGGGCAAACACCCCCTTCCCTCCCCAAGGGGTGCATAGTGAGCGGCTGGCCCAGCCTGTGAGTGTGAAGCTCAGCTGCAGGCACCGCCGGATGGCCATCAGCGTTTGGCCCAGCAGGATGCAGGTAGACAGGCCAGAGCAAGGCGCGGTCGGGGGCACAGATACCTTCTGAGCCATGCCCAGCAGGCACATCTTGTCGTGCACATTCCCACGCAGGAAGCTGATGAGATCTTTGTTCTGATTGAGCTTCTCCTCTGTTGAATGCGCAAAGAGCTTCTTCCCTTGCTCTAGAGGCACGAATGGGATTTCAGTCCTAGGGCAGCACCAGCCCATCCCCACCATGCACCCAACTCTGACAGGCCAGGCCGGGCTCCGCACTCTGCTGCAGTGGAGGGGCGACTCATCCCATCATTGGCACATCACTCATGTGACCAGCTGAGGGTCTGGTGCCATGTTGGCCTTCCAGCCCCCTGTAGGGCCAAGCTCTGTAAAGGAGCCAAGTGTAACCTTAGGGATCAGGGTCCGATGAGATTTGGGCTGGGCTCCAGGCGGGGTTCAGATGATTTGGGGAGAAGGAAACCCCCTGAGAAGAGGGGGTGGGTGAGGAGATCTAATGCCCAACACCCCTCAGTGATGCCTGATGGGCATTGTGAGCCTTTAGAAATATGGATCTAAATCCTGGCCGCCTGGCACTTATGGCCACATGCTAGAAAGCCCTTAGGCAGAGGGACGTCGCGTCCTGCACCCTGTGGCTATGTCTACACGCGTGGCTTCTTGTGCGAGAAATATGCAAATGAGGCTAAGCATAGAATATCGCCGAGCCTCATTTGCATGCCTAATGAGCCGCCATTTTTGCAGAAGAGGCTCTTGCGCCTCTACGCTGATTATTTTCAGGAAGAACGGCGTTGCGCGAGAGGGATTTTCTTGCGCAAGGAGGGGCAGTGTAGACAGCTCCTTCTGGCACAAGAGCCTCATTTGCATATTTCTCGCACAAGAAGCCGCGCGTGTAGACATAGCCACAGGGTGCAGGACGAGACGTCCCTCTGCCTAAGGGCTTTCTAGCATGTGGCCATAAGTGCCAGGCGGCCAGGATTTAGATCCATATTTCTAAAGGCTCACAATGCCCATCAGGCATCACTGAGGGGTGTTGGGCATTAGATCTCCTCACCCACCCCCTCTTCTCAGGGGGTTTCCTTCTCCCCAAATCATCTGAACCCCGCCTGGAGCCCAGCCCAAATCTCATCGGACCCTGATCCCTAAGGTTACACTTGGCTCCTGACACTCCAGGGCCTCAGGCAGCCGTTTCACCCCACCCAGCCTGTCACAGCCTGGCCGGGGCGCGGAGCAGCACCTTGCAGTGAGATGATGGCACGCAGCTCACGAATCTGCTGCTTGATGTCCCTCTTCCTCTGGAACTTCATGGTGGCAGAGGTTCCTGTCACAGTCACACGCTGGGCCCCTGCCCAGAGACACACCGAGTCCTCCCCTCCCACCAGCTGCTGAGCCAGAGAGCTCTGCCTTTGGAACCCGCTTTTCTGTGGTCCTTGGACTATGATGTCGGAAGGAGCTTTGTGACACAGGCCTGCATCACTGGCTTCTCCATGGCGGCCGCTGGGTGCGTGTCCCCTCCACCCACTGGCCCCGCAGCCCTCAGTAGCACTACCAGAACCACCACACACGTGGCATGGGGGACGAGGTGCTTGGCCAGGTTTATTGCCAAGGAAGCACAGTCCTAGCGCCCTGGCTCTGAGGTTACAGACACGCGCACACGTGACCCCGAGAACGGGCCAGCTCTGCGACGTTCTGCCACCCCTCAGTGGGGCACAGACCCACCTCTAGTGACTTCTCCCTCCACACATCAATATGAACACGTGTTCCACGCCGTAGTGGGGGTCAACTCACCACCGAGGCACCTCCTGCTGGTCACACTGGGAATTAGTTATGGCCCCTCCTTCTGACTGGTGTCTCACCCACCTTCATGGTGCTCCACTATCTTCCCTCTCTGGCTTTGGACCCACCTCGCTCCCTGGACGGCAGCATCCTCTTCCGGACATGTCCTCCAGCTGTGCCCGCCCCGCTGTCCTCTCCCCATTCCGGGCCCTCAACGAGCAGGCCTGCCACCGTGGCCAACTGCAGCCCCAAAGTCTGGCCCCTCGCCTCAGAGGCAAATGGCAGCTGGTAAAGGCCACGCTCCTTGGTGGCAAGGTGTGGTGCAAGGGAGAAGATCCAGGCCCACCTGTTCCTCTGGATCCCAGCCCAGGGGCCCCGTCCTGCCCTCGTTCACACTGCTGGCTGCCCTCAACGTGCCTGGACCCCTTCCCCATGACCCTAGCAGCCTCCCAGCCCTTGTAGCAAGGCCTCAGCCTGGGAGGTGTCAGGCAGGAGCCTCTCTCTGCTGCCCTGAGCCGGCCCAGCCCGTCTCTGTCCAAAGTGCTTTTCCCAGGGGGCCGGGGCCTGCCCTTTGCTGGTCAGGACACAACTGCCCTATGCATGGCCGAGCAGCTCCTTATATCAGGGCTGCCCCAGCAAGCCGCCCTCTGATTGGCTCCCGCTGAGCCTCTCGCTGATTGGAGGGGACTGTGGAGGCTTTTTCCGGCCTGGTTGCTTGGCCAGAGTGGGGCAGGCAGTCGAAGAAAGGAGAGCGAGGCCTGTGGGCAGCCCTCTGCTTGGTGGGAGATGGTGGCACGTGGCCAAGCCAGAAGGAGACTTCACCCCCCAGCCCCAGCTTCTTGGGTCTCTGGCGCTAGTGGGCTAGGCAGCCTCGTCGACCGATTCGATCGCAGCCACTCGGTCCCCAGCCCCCAGTGCATACCTCGGCTACCCAGACCCGCCTGGCTGCAGAGTCTCAGCTTTCCTTCCTGCAAGTGAGCAGGTCCCCCAAAGCGTGTGCGGGACCCAAGGTGGCATGCTGCACCGTGCGCCCGGGCAGCGAGTGCTGTGCAGTGCGGGGCCCAAGACAACTGCCTTTCTCGCCTTGCGCTAAGGTGAAGCATGTGCAGGGCCTGTCTCTACGCAATAGCTTAGCCATGCCTGCCCATTAACAGGTCAATGCACACTCCCTGCCCACTTCCCAAGGAGCCAGGCAGCCAGGGCTGGGGGGCCAGAGTTAAAATTCACTGCCTGTAACTATTATTGCAGAGCTCAACTTGAGTAGCAGGGGCTTGTCACGCCTCTACTTGACCCTCGGGAAACCAGGAACTGCCCACCAGGCATCCCCGAGCCCTGCCCCCACTGCCCTCCCAAATTTCAGCCTCCAGCCCTCCCTGTCTTATTGCCACCTCCAGCCCCATACCCAGTCCACCATGGGAGCCTGGAGTCCTAGGTTCTGGGAGGGCTAAGGAGGGACCCCTGGGCTCCAGGCCTGCCTGTGACTGGCTCACGTGTGGTGCTGGGCCAGTCACCTGCCCTCGTTGCACCTCACTTTCCCAGCTGGGAGAGGCTGGAGGCTGGTGAAAAGCCGCCAGGGAGAACAACCAGCCTCGCGCATCCCTGACAGGCGATCGTCAACCCTCCCTGACGGTGAGTCCACAGCTGCCGCAGGCAATGGCCTGGCGGTGCTGGATTCAGAGATGAGGGCTGGAAGAGCTCTCAGGAGGTCGTCCCGTCCAGTCGCTGCACTGGCGCTCAGGTTTTGTGCCTGGAGAGACAAGTGGGGACCTTAGTCCACAGCCTCACCTTCAGCCGTAGCTTCGAGAGATACAGATCCTTGTTCCAGATGTCTGCTCTCCAGGGGCTGAGCCGCTGGAGCCAGGGCTGCAGGGCTGGGCCTCAGCTTCCTCCTGGCACTAATCATGGCCAATGAACAGCCCAGGGCGACTCGCTGGTGCCCCAGCCCACCTGAGCTCCTGCACTGCAGCTTTCAATGCCAGGGCCCCTCATACCACCCACACTGCACTCAGCAGAGCCCAGACCCAGAGCTCAAGGACCCAAAACTTTCGGCTTCCAAATTTCAGCCTTTGATTCGGGTTTTTTGGGTGTTTCCCCATTTCTTGTAGTTAACCAAGTATCTCCTCTGCATTCTCCTCAGCCTGTGGTGGGTTCTTCGGGGCGATTCCCTAGCATTGGATCACGACAGCCTGATGAGGACAAGAAGGGCACAGGCCCTGTTCAGAACCACGGCTCCCGTTTCATGCTAGCGTCCCCAGTTCCATCGGGGGAGAGAAGAGATGCAGGAACAGAATCTACTCCACATTCTGCAGGAGGCATCAATGCTGTGCAAGCCAGCAAGCAAACCCAGGCCTGCTTAGACACAGGCCAGGGCTGCAGAGGGTCTAGTGAAGGGAGCATGGCAGGAGCGTGAGGTGGAAAGAGACTCAAAAGTGATGGCTGAATTGAGTCAAAGTGGGGGAGCGTGGCTCTCAGGGCTGCCTCGCACAGCTGATTACGGCCAACACTTGTGCACCCTGGTGATGGGCGAGGGGGGAGGACCAAGAGGGGAAGCATGTACACTGCTCATTTATTACTGTTCCTTTTAGAGACATTTCCTGTGCATGGAGCCCAATCTACACACAATCAGCACAAACTTGATTCCCAACATTCTCCTCCCAGGAGCTGCTCTTGGGGCTTATTCTGCGATTCCAGCTGCCCCTCCCTGTGTTCCCTTCAGTTGTTCAACCCCAGAAACTCCTCTTCTCCTGTAAGAAAAGAGAGAAGGCATACCTCTACAGAGCTGTGCAGCTTTTTCCCAGGCAGCACCGGGCAGCCAGAGGCCTTGGCATTGTGCCCAGTGACAGCTGGCCAGGCATCCCGCTGCTGGTTGTCCCACAAACACCAGAACTGTTCAGTCAGTACAGATGTCGAATTAGGAAACCCTTCCTTTCATCTGGATCAGCATGACCTCCTGACAGTCAGCAGGGTCACCGGGCCTGGGCTCACACTTTCCAGCACAGGTAACAGCCCCCGAGCTCGGCTCAAGCCAGCATGCTAAATAGCTGCACAGGCAGCAGCTCGGCTGGCTACAAGACTGCCTGGAGTCCTGGTGACAAACGCTGGTGGTGAGCCCAAGCTGCCCCAGCTCCCTGCCATTTTCAAGCAGAGCTAGTGTGTGTCTAGCTGTGCTGGAAAGCACATCGCTGCCCACCCAGGCCAGGCAGCAGGGGCCCAGCTGCTGCCTACTGAGATTAGCCTGCCCCCAGCTGCAATCACAGTCCCCTTGGAATGTCTCCTCATGTGTGTGTGTGTGTGGGGGGGGGGTTAACGGATCTGTTGTCACCAAAGGACCGACATCCTCCTGAGCCAATGTCACATTCCCTACCAGGCCCAATGCTCTGCACTCAAGGCCAGCATGACGGGGCCTCTCCTGCAGAAAGGTGGCGATAGCTGGTAGGCAGCTGCTCTGCATGTGAAAGTCCAGAGCAATAGCTCAGCTGCTGGCCAGTAGCTACAGCTTCACCTGGCCCTGGGTGCATGTAGTGGGGAACAGGTGAGCTGCAAGACCTGCCCCTCCATCACAGACATGGCTGCCTTACACCCTTACCCACACCGCTCGAGTGGTAGCTCATCCCAGCACCAGTCCTCTGCCTTGGCGCTCAGCAGGGAGTGCCAGCGTGCACCTGGCAGAGCTGGGAGGCAGAAGCCAAGTGGTTCAATGAAGCCCTATGTGCCAACAGCAGTTCAGAGCTAAGCGCATCATGGAGCAGAGCTAGTAATGCATTCACGACCGCTTCGGAGGGGAGTAGCACCTACTGGCTAGAGTAGGGAAGTGGCCAAAAGGAGACCTAAGTTCTGTTTCTGCCACTGACTCCCGTGACCTTGAAGAAGTCACATAGACATCTTCGAATGCAGGTGCCTGCAGTTAGAGCCATAAACCAGGACCACTGTCAGGAGAGCCAGCCCGATTTTCTGGTGTGAGCTGCAGGGACTTGGGGCCTCTGAAATGCGTGCTGCTGCCTTAGGAGCCCCCAGCCTTAGATAAGGGTTTAGCTACCTAACTGTAGGCACCAACTTTGAATTAGCCTGTCTGTGTGGCATGCCTCAGTTTCCCTGCCTACTGAAAGGAGCAGCCCATTCTGCAAGGACCTAAAGAACTGGTGAAAAGTGCTGCATGGCAGGAAGCAGGGCCTGCCACAGAGCAGCCTCTGGGCAACCGAACAAGCACAGCTGGTCTGCAGCAAGTGAGAAAAGCCAACAGGCCGCGCTTAAGCACAGCAGCAACAGCGGCATCTCAAAGCTCGCGCTCCTGGCTTTGATAGCCCTTGTTCATTCCCAGTCCACTCCAGTGACCCCAGCCTGACGTCTGACCCTGTCCGCTGGCTCTGAGCCTGGGCACCAATTCCTGGCTACCAGCTCCTGCATTAACTACTAGGCATGGCTCTCGCTTTCATCACAGGGCGTGGGTGCCCACCACGGGTGCAATAGCCTCTGCCAGCCCCTGGGCAAGGTAGAGGGCACAGCTCTGCACTCCTGGACGGGACGGGGCCAAGGGCCGGCAGCCTTCAGCACCATGCTGAGTCACAGACAGCCCTCAGTGCCACTGGGAGCGCTTTGCACTTCGCCTCACACCAGCAGCGATTTCAAGGGCCCGGGGCTCCAGCCACCACCACTGTCACTGCAGCAGCAGCCAGGACTAGGCCCCTTTGAGTCGCTGGCTCCGGAACAGCTGCCCCTTTGCCCGCAGGCCTGATGCCCACTTCCCGGCCACTGCACGTTAGTGCAAAGCCAGGGCTTGTTCTGGTTTGCAATGGCTCACTCTGCTCACCCAGCGGAGGGGCAGGATGTGGTGTAGTGGAGACTGTATTCACTCTGTTTGCTTTGTTATGCTGCATGTGATCCTACTGTCCAGTCGTAACTCCGTGGCTGTGTCTAGACTGGCAGCTGCTTTTCTGGAAAAACTTGCCAGCTGTCTACACTGGCCGCTTGAATTTCCGCAAAAGCACTGACGATCTCATGTAAGAAATCAGTGCTTCTTGCGGAAATACTATTCTGCTCCCGTTCGGGCCAGTGTACACAGCTCAGATTTGTTTTGTGCAAAAAGTCCCGTGCCAATCTAGACGCTCTTTTCCGAAAATTCTTTTAACCGAAAAGCTTTTCAGTTAAAAGCATTTGCGGAAAATCGTGCCAGTCTAGACGTAGCCCTTGTGTGTGTGTGCGCGTGCGTGTGCATGCCTCAGTTTCTCTGGGCACTGTAACGCTATGTGGATGAGGAGGGAAAGGCTGGGCGCGACTCACTGGGGAAGTATGTCAGTCTCTCAGGGCCTGAGGACCAGATGATAGCAGATAACAGCGTGGGCCGGAAGGATGAGGCAGGGCTGCCTACAGGCTGGGACCAGGGGTGTGAGTTAGTTTTTGCCTGGTTTAGGGAAGAGTCTAGCTGGCTTGGGGGGCCTGGTTCTGGGCCCCCTTATCCCCAAGATGGATTGTACTGAATGCTAACGCTATGTGGATGAGGAGGGAAAGGCTGGGCGCGACTCACTGGGGAAGTATGTCAGTCTCTCAGGGCCTGAGGACCAGATGATAGCAGATAACAGCGTGGGCCGGAAGGATGAGGCAGGGCTGCCTACAGGCTGGGACCAGGGGTGTGAGTTAGTTTTTGCCTGGTTTAGGGAAGAGTCTAGCTGGCTTGGGGGGCCTGGTTCTGGGCCCCCTTATCCCCAAGATGGATTGTACTGAATGCTCCTGGTCCCTGTAACATGTCTGTGCTACACTGTGTCTGTCCCTGTCAACAAATAACGTGTGACTGAGGACGGGGTGACGCCCCCGCACTCCGTGACACACGCAAAGCCAGACACCAGAGGAGACTGAGGGAAGAAAAGGAGGTTCCAGGTGAGAACATTGACCCCAGGGGGCCTGTGTGCAGCCACAGGACAGGAAGGGGAATGAGGGTGGGTAGCACTCCCCGGCAGCCAGCTCCCCCCTTCCCATCCTTGTTCCCTGGCAGGGAGGTGAGGGTGCAAGGGGAAGCCTGGGGAAAGGGTGGGGGCAGGGCTGGGGCACAGCAAGGTGGGAGGGGCGAAGCAGGGGATTGAAAGAGAGTTTGTGCTGCTGGCAAGAGGCTCTGGGAGCGGAGGGGGGAGGG